GAGCTTTACTGTTTTTTTCCTGTTTATACCTTGTTTTGTTTTACCTGTTTTTCTTTTACTGCCTTGTTTGGTTGACTTGATAATTTTCTAGAATTAGATTTTGTGTATCTGTTATTTGGTTGAATATAATCTGTATGTATCAGAAGTATATTTTAATTTATCTAAAGTGCTTATCTACTTTTGAATTTATTTTATATTCTGAATTTTTAATTATCTCTGTATATTTTTTAATTGATTACATTAGGAATTGCCATACACATGTAATAGTTGACCCTTTGTGCAGATGGATTCCATATCCATGGGTTCACACAACAGCCTTCAAGTGGAATGTAGAAACCACCACTTAAGTCTCTTTACCTGCTATGAGTTGTTTTTGATATAGGCTCATTTTATATATATACACTGAAAACCAGTAGACCATTGTATAACTTTTGCCTTTAAAAGTTATACACAATATAAACAAGATAAGAGGAGAAAAAGTAGTCTGTTATATTGAGCCAGATATTTTCCATTTGTGTTCATTTTCCTTTCATTTATGAAGTTCCATCTTTGGTCTGGTAACATTTTTGTTTTGTTAAATAGAACTTCCTTTACCATTTATTTTATAGCTGGGTTGCTGGAAACAAATTCTCTTCATTGTCCTGCACTTGAGAATGTTATTTCTCAAGTAAAGTACATTTTCACTGCATATAGAATTCTAAATACAGAATTCAATTTTGTTTTTATTTTCTCACTTCATTAAAAATACTGTTCTATTGCCTTTTGGCCTACATAGTTTATCATGAAAAGTCCATAGCCATTTAAGTCATTGTCACCTTATGTGGTGTTTGTTGCTTTTCTTTAGCTACTTTCACGGTTTCCTTTGCTTTTTTTTTCTTGTGTTTACTCTTCAGCAGTTCGGCTAATATGTATATGAGCAGTGATTTTGCTCTCTTCTCTCTTTAAACTTGACAAGTATTTAGCTGTTGTCTTTTAAAATTTTTTTGGTAACGTTTTCTTTCTCCTCTGCCTCTAAGACTAAATGACTCAAATGTTAGACCTTGTTTTATTCTTTCAAAATATGGATGATCCTTTCTTTTTTTTTTTTTTCCCAGTCTTTCTACTCTTAGTTGTTTGTACAAATAGTCCTCAGTTTTTGACTTGACAGTAGGCTTATCAGGGTATGTACACTTTTGACCTAGAATGGCTTCACTGAGTTGTAACCCCATGGTAAGTTGAGTGACATCTGTATTGTTCTGTTCTGTCTTCAAGCCACTGACTCCCTTCTTTTGACATTGCCATTTTTCTGTACAGTCCTTCGGTATGTTTATTTTTCTGTAGTAATATTTCCTTTTGTTTCTTTTTTATCTCTTAGATTGCTCTACTGAGACCTCTGTCTTGCTATATTTCAAGATTGTTGCCCTTATTCTTTGACATTGTTGTCATAGCTCCTTGAGGGTCACCATCTGATAACCCTGATATCTAAGTCATCTAAGTTTTGGTGGCTATTTATTGTCCTTTCTCTTATAGAGATTTTTCTGGTTCTTTGTGTGGCAATTAATTTTGTATGATATCCTAGATATTGCTACTTTATGTGACTAGATCTTATTTATAATCCTGTTTATAATTAAGCTTTAAAAAAAAACTTTTAGCAGTATTTGATCCAGTTAGGTTCACTGTCCGCCTCCTATGTGCCTTCTTTCCTGTTCGTTGGCTGGGAAGCTGAATTGTGCCTGCCTCCTTTGCTGTTCTCTAAGGAATCAAGGGCATCAATTTTTAGTCAGTAAATGAAGGGAGGATAAAAAGAAAAAAAGTAGGAATTTCAAATTCACCTTGGTCATAAAGGAGGATTCCTTTCAGAGCTCTAGATACCTGTTCAGCTGCTACTGCTATCACTGCTACTGCCACAGAACTGTCTTAGGGATTTGGCCTTGCTTGGTGACTTGGGGCAAGAGAGGAAACAAGCACACCAAGCAAGGTGGGTTTCCTCTACTGTCACTCACATCTCCTGCCCCAATCCCCTTTTATCCCCTGGAGCATAGAGAACCGCTCTTGGAGCTCTTTCTGTCCATACACAGTTTATACTACAGGGTATTAAGCTACCTGTGAGTACGAGCTGAGTATAGGGTAGAAAATATTATGGGAGTTATGGACAAGGAAACATATCTTCAACTTTGGTTTATTTCTGCAGTCTACCTGCTACCATTTATTTTTCAGAGTTCTGGTATAGTTGATTTGTGCATTTTACATGGGGTTTCTAAGTGAATTCAGCGATGACAGGACAGAGGTCTCTTCTGAATCAGAAGGCTTTCAGGTATTTTGAGTATTTAAAATTGGTGTCTCATTCATTTACCAAATTTTGATTAATACATTATTATTTCACATAATTATACAACAAAAAAATGTAAAATTCCAGGATTTCAAATTATCTTTAGTAATTTAGGCCAACTGTTTACCATTGACAAATCTCATTCACCTTAAATGATAACTAAGATGTTTAAGTTGTTTGTCTACATTAACTCTTTTAATTCTCAGAAAACCTGTCAGATAAATATAATTATTTTTAGTTTCATTGTACTATGCAGAAACAAAAGTTTAGTGTTTTTCAAGGAATGCAGAATTTTGAGTTTCAGCCCAGACTTAAAGAATCAGAATCTACATTTGAACAAAATCTTACAGGTGACTCATTTGAACAGTATCTTTTAAAAGTCACTGGTATAGAGAAACTATAAACTTGATCAAGGCCAACCTTCATGCAAGTTACCTTTTGGCTCAAGCAAGGTCAGTTTATTAGCCTGATAATATCCTGATAGAACCAGCCGCTGAACTTTAACTGTACCATATGCAATCTGAATTTCCTTTATTCTTGGAAGGAGTTAGGATACCAGTAAGTTATTAGGTTGTTGTCTTGGTTACTTTTCTCTCATTGCTGGGACAAAATACCTGACACCCAAAATGAAGGAAGGAAAGGTTTATTTCGCTTACAGTTTGTGGAGTTTTCAGTCCATACTTGGCAGGTTACAGGGCAGAGTGGCACATGGCAGAGGGCTACCGCTCATGGTGGCAGAACACAGCAAAAGCAACAAGCACAAAAGCCAGGAATGGCAGCAAGCAGCCTCTTCCTCTCCCTTACATATGCCAACTATCCACCCCAGGGCGGGTGTAGCTCTCACACCCATAATCAATCAAACTCTAAAAGCCTGCCCCATGACCGCGTGAGGCTTTGGGGGGACATCCAGACACAAACCATAACAGTTGTGTACACATTTCAGTTGCTACTTAAGCTGAATCAGTTATTCACAGGGAAAAGACTCAGACGCTAATCACTTTATCCTGTCATCTGATATATCAAGAGAGATGAAGAAGAAACATGCCAGTCTTTGAAATAACATTTAGCTAATCAGAATATAGCATCAGTTCATCTTGCTTCCCTTAAATGCATTCCCCATAGCAAAGCCAGAGTGACATTTTAAAAAATAAATAAGATCGAGCTGGGTGTGGTGGCACATGCCTGTAATCCCAGCACTCAGAAGGCTGAGGCAGGAGGATCGTGTGGGTTTGAGGCAAACCTGGGCTACATAGTGAGTTCAAGGCCAGCCTGCCCTACGTAGCAAGACCCTGTCTCAAAAAGAAAAAAAAAATCAAATCATGTTTTGCTTAAGACTCTACTAGCTTCCCATTACTTCACTGAAAGCTACTGTTTACCCTGGTTTAGAGGACTGCTTCCCTTTCTGACCTTATCTCAAAACGGAAATTCTACTCTTTCCAGTGTGCTTCAGCCATAGTGACCTTTCATCAGCTTCTGAGCAGAACAAGCTCCACCCCACTCACTTTCACATCACCGCCTCCTCTTTCTGTTTGGATTTGCCTTCTCCCTGAAGCTTTACACTGGCTTTTTCTCACATCCAATCTCAGTTCAAATGTTAGCTGTCAGCGGCACTTCACTGACCTACAGTGTTGAAAATACCTTCTACAACATACATGGTCATACTCTATAGTTTGACATTCTTATATAGTACTCACAGTGTTTTTCATTGGCAGAAAGTAACTTATTTACATGGTTTGTTACCTCTTCTTCTGACATCACCCTCAAGAGAATATAAAGGTGAATAAGGACCGAGAACTCGTCCGTTTGCTTTAACACACTGAAGCCTAGGTTTTTATGAATGTCAAATTTGTTAATTAATATAAAGCTCTGAGAATGGGTCTGGCATATTACATGAACTTTTAAGCATTTCTTATTACTGTTACTGTAGAAATGATAGTATGTTTAGGCAATTGTAGAAACTCAATGGAATGATTAATGTATTGAATATATTTAAGGTAATACCTAATTATAAAAACTGAGTACTGCGGGATATATTACAAATAGTAAAGGATTGTTATTTTTATAGGATTGAAAAAATGAAAATAATAGTGCTATTATTGGAGTTTTTAGTCCATGTTTTTCACTTAAGAGTTTAGACAGTTGCCAAGGACGTAGCTCAGCAGCACAAGTGCCTGCCTGGCAAGTCCAAGGTCCTAAGTTCGATTCCTGGTACCAAAAAAAAAGAGTTTAGGCAGCTATGTTCAAGTCATCATAGAGTACAGGCAGAGGATCTTTAAAGTTACATCCATCTCCTAAAATTGTGAACCAATAAGGATATGGGCTTGCATTTTTGAATTTTACAAATTAAAACTAGTTTTTCTGGAAATGATTACTCTTGGATATTAGCTTAAAATTACTTTTGGGTCTGGGGAGGTTGCTCAGTGATGAGTCCTCCTTGCCTAGCACATGCAAGGGCCTGGGTTCAGTGCTCACTGCACAGATATAGATACAGATATAGATATAGACTTTTCATTTCTAATGTAGCTCTTTCATAAATAATGTTCGGTAACAGCACGCCAACAGTGGTATTTACTGTTATATGAATCTCTTGTATGGCCCGTTTATTGGTGAGGTCATTGAAATAAGCATATGCATGTACATAGCATTCTGTATATCCTGAATTGTTTCTGCTGTTCTTCTCTGTTGACCATAGGTAACAGTTAACCTCTTCCAGATGCAGCATCTGCAGGTTGCCTCCCTTGCAAACAGTTTACAGTCTCTGTGTGATAATGCCAAACTCTATGATCCAGGACAAGAATATAGTGAATTTGTCAAAGCTGCGAATTCAACTGAAGAAGAAAAAGTTGATGGGTGAGAACTAATGTACAGATGAAGTTATTTCATAAGATAAAAATACTTGCTAAGTTTTTGTATGTTGTAAGGTGGTATCTTTTCTAACAGTGACATGATTAACAGTATTTTCTGAATATTTTTAATATTATTTTGTGATTTCTTAGTACATTTAAGCAATAAATACAATTCCCTTTGGAGGGAAGCTTTCCATTTTGACACTGATCCCAGTTTTAACCACAAGATGAATTACTGACTGTACTATTGCTACTTCTTTCTGTTTCATCTGTAATAAAGACAAATAACTTAAAAGTTTTATTCACATCTAAAAGAAACTAAGCCATATAATATAGTTTGTTCTTAGTATTTAAATTGTTTGTAAATTCATTTAGTAAACAAATTTTTCTAAATGTGGCATAGACTATTAGTGATGAGCTTTATTTGTTTTTTCTTAGGAATGTAAATAAACAATTAACATCTGCATACAGACCTGCTGACTCTTTGGAGGATGTTGTACGCCTTTCTGACAGTTGTAATAAAATTGAAGAGGACAGATGCTCTAACAGTGCAGACATAACAGGTAGTTTTCACATGAAAGTGAACACTGGTTTATGAAAGCAGATTGCTCATGTGTGCTTATTAAATAAACTGGAGCTCTGGTATTAGAAAATCAGGCCTTGTGGATTTTAATGTTAAGAGGCTTATTCACAGTTAACCACCATGCCTTATAAGGACCATGTTCTTTGTTAGAGGAATTGTCTCATTTTATTAATGTCAGTATTTTATGTTATGAAATTTTTTACCTTAAATATTTTTTACTTTAAATATTTTTTTCTTAAAGGTCCTTCTTTCATAAGATCATGGACATTTGGGATGTTCAGTGATTCTGAAAGTACAGGAGGGAGCAGCGAATCTAGATCTCTGGATTCGGAATCTATAAGTCCAGGTACATAAATATTTAAGTCTATTGTAAAAATTCTATGAAAGACAAATAATTCTTTTGAGAGCATGTTTTTAAGCACCTAAAATATACGTGTATATGTACAGTCCAAAGAAAAGTAATGAAACAAATCCGTAAATAGACCTCTCCTAGCATAAGAAGAACATCGTTAGTTGATTAGAAGCCTGCTGTGTATACCTTGTTGATAAAATCATTATCCTGAACTTTTGTCATTCATAGATATTTTAAATGTTTTTAGTAGGGGTAGGTAATGGAATTTTGCCCATTTCTGGAGCTTATATAAACAGAAGCAGACTTTTCTTTTTATAACTTATTCCTGTATGCACCTTGTCCATTTTCAGATTCTTGTTACTATAAGTAGCTGCCTTTATTTTCAGTACTGTTCTAGTCTATGAAGCAAAATGACATCTATCTTTTGGTTGTTCTGTAGTTAATTACTGTGTTAAAAAATGGCATTATACCATTTCCTGTACTTATTATTTATTGTTAAATTTTATAAACATATTTCAAGATACTTTGATAGAAATTGTCTCAAAATTCTCAGAGGCAAAGTAAGTGTTTTGAAGTCTACCCTAGTAGGTTCAAAGAGGTTAACTGGTGACTTGCCGTACAGCTAGCAGCAGGTAGCATTTGAACCTATGTGATTGTCATTTCCACATTCTTAGGGCTGGGGATATAGTTCAGTGGCACAAGTGCCTGCCTGGCAAGCATAAGGTCCTGAGTTCAAGTCCCAGTTAAAAAAAAACCAAAAAAACCACTGGATCATTTCCACATTGTTTCTTCATTCCTTTACTAAATACTACTCCAGTCCTGTTCTTTCTGGCTTTGGTTCCCTATCCTAAGCTCTTGGAAGATTATGTCATAGAATTTTAACTCATCAAATTCCAAGGCATTGTATAAAGGAAGAAATTTTTTCCATGCAGCACTGGGATTTGTAGACTGATTAATATCTGCCACCTTGTCATCTCCTTTAACATTAGCACTCTTCAAGGGATCCCTTGAAGATGGGAGCCTAAATTTTTAACTAGATATTTATAGTTAGCTTTGTAAAAGCAGAATGGTTCTAGCTAGCACCAAGAATTAGTACACAGTCTAAAACAGGCCCTAAGTTATTTAGGGTCCTGTGTGTGTCATGTGATGAAAACAGAAATTTGGAATTCAGATCATATGATAATGGGTGAGACTGGGAAAGAGGAAACTTGAGTCCATGACAGTCTTCCACAAACACTAGAATTGAAGAGAGATTTGAGTTAGAATGCTTGTTTGCTCCTTTGAGAAAAATGTGACCAAGGCTGGGAGCAGGTTTCTGCTCAGTAATAAAAGGTAGCTGATTTAAAATAGCTCTAAAATGGAATAGATGACCTTGTTGATTTCTCAGTTATTGGGAACATATTCAAAGCAAAAACTAGGCAACCACCTTTAAGCACATTGTGAAGAAAAATCCTTTTGAGGAGAGAATATTTAAAACTATTTATAAAAAATATTAGTAACTCTGAAGCTCAAACTGTTAAGGTCTTGAGTTAAAATGGATTCTTAGTTAGATATAGATGTGTTTATAATTTCAGCAGTGTAAATAAGCATCTTTCTTAGTTCGTCTGGTTCCAGACATACTTTGATGCACACAGCAGTGCCCTTTGCTGATATAGATTGTATCCTGTGGTTTTAGCTCTCAGCTGGAGCTTACTGTGCTGTGGTTCTGGGTTCCCATCTCCTGTCTTCCTAGTACATCAGTTGATATCGCTATTATAGGGTTAAAAGATTTTCATGTATTTTAAGAGACTTTAGATTATATTGTATGTATTTATTTATAATCAACATTTATTGTCAACTTTTTGTTTTGTTTTGTTTTGTTTTCTGGTACCAGGAATCGAACTCACGATCTCGCGCTTGCCAGGCAGGCACTGTGCCGCTGAGCTAAATCCCCAGCCCCTTTATTGCCAACTTCACTATTGTGCCAGCCACTTTGTCAGATATTAGGTATAAAACATAGCTAATACTATGTGTCTTGTGGAGATGATAGTCTCTAATATGGTCAGAAATTGGCAGTAAGGTCTCATTGAAAATACCATCCTGAGCTTTAAATTTATTTGGAAAAGTCATATGTGATTAAATTCCTTTCATTTCCAGGGATGAGTATCAAAGACCTTTGTTATCTGGAGTGTGAGAATGGAAGCAAATGTTTATATCAAAGCTAATAAAATAATGTGACTTGTATAATTCCAAAAATGTTGTTATTACCTATTTTGAATATTCTACACTAAATAGTCAGGTAATAAAATCACAATTTTCTTTTAGGAGACTTTCATCGGAAACTTCCACGAACTCCATCCAGTGGAACTATGTCTTCTGCAGATGATCTAGATGAAAGGGAGCCACCTTCCCCTTCAGAAGCTGGTATAGTATTTACCTGAATTGACATCCATTAGACTAGCTGAAGGAGTAGCACTGCATGCTATTAGAAAAACTGTGTAATTTTAAATACCCACTATTTTGCTGTATATTAAATAAAAGTTATCACAATAACTTGAATATATCCCTATAATTATGTTCAAATGAGTTGATAATGTATTAATCAGATGTTTAAAATACAAATGTAGGAATAAGCAATAAAATTATTAGCTCTAAAATGTATTGGCATGGTGTTACAATAGTAGACTAGATAAATACTCTTTCCTAAATCCAGTAGCAGTTACTTACTGTTAAAAGGGTGGCAGTCTGTCAGAAATTCTGAAAAAGCTCCTGCTAAAGAAACAGTGCCCAAAGCCAAGCAAGAAAAGCAGACAAGCATACTTCTCAAAGACAAGGAAAGTGTGAATTTTGAAAAATGTGAAAGTGAAGTCAGTTACCTTAATGACTTGAATTAGACTCAAATAAACTAGTTTTATATATTTGATACCTCCAGATACCTGGTTTAGCATAATTTATTGAATTAAAGGGCTATTTCACCTCTGATACGATGTTGAAATATATAATCTACAAGTACCATCTGTAATTTTATAGTGAGTTAAAAATGACTGTTCTTAATGCAAATAATGATTGTACACCGGCCTTATCACTATTTTTCTTTAAAGCATTTAAAGGACATCTTAATAAGAATAGAAATTACATTATACTGTGATATCTTAGAATTATCTTACTGATTTGGTGGTGACTTTTACTCATGGCTAAAATGTTTGTTAAAAGTATGTGTTTTATAACATATCTATAAATGGGATGTTTAGTTTGATGTTAGAAATTTAGAAGAGTTTTTTATATGTAGATGATTGCAAAGTCTAAAGATTAATCAAAATACAATATGTTATAATTTTTTTGTCATTTTACCATTCTTACATACCAACATTTCTGTTGCAAGGACCCAATTCTCTTGGAACATTTAAGAAAACACTGATGTCAAAGGCAGCTGTCACTCACAAGTTTCGCAAATTAAGATCCCCCACAAAATGCAGAGACTGTGAAGGCATTGTAGTATTCCAGGGTGTTGAATGTGAAGAGGTAAGATCTTTTTGCAATTGCCTTGGCCCCCTTCCTTTTTTGCTATATTCTTTGTTATGGTTTTACTTACTAGGATCTATTGCAAGTATATTTTTAATAAATTGTACTGGCAGTGCATCCTCTATAATTTTGTACTTTTTGTTGTTCAGTGCATTTCAGACACTGCTAACTATACCTCTCACACTGATTTTTTTTCTGGTATAACTATATTTTGCCCAGTTGTGAATCATTTTAGGTGAACTAACTAGTTTTAAACTGTCATTCTCTTTTAGTGTCTCCTTGTTTGTCATAGAAAGTGTTTGGAAAATTTAATCATCATTTGTGGTCATCAGAAACTTCCAGGGAAAATGCACATATTTGGAGCAGAATTCACACAAGTTGCAAGAAAGGAACCAGATGGCATTCCTTTTATACTCAAAATATGTGCCACAGAGATTGAAAATAGAGCCTTGTCTTTACAGGTACAATGTAACTCTTAAAATTTTAAAAATATGAATGCCTGAGTATGTTTTTTTTCCTAATGAAAAGGAGACTTTAAAGGAAAACAATACTCTCAATTTGTTGGGGGCTTTTTTGTTTGTTTTTTTGTTGTTGTTGTTTGTTTTTTTTGTCTTTTTGAGGTAGGGTCTCATTATGCAGTTCAGTCTGGCCTTGAGCTCACTTTGTAGTCCAGGCTGGTCGCAAACTTGCAGTGATCCTCCTGCCTCAGCCCCTTGAGTGCTGGGAGTACAGGTGTGTGCCACCATGCCCTGCTTTTCAATTTTTAATAACTAGTTTTATTTGGAAAATATTAATTCATTTGCCCCTGACTAGTTTTTTCTAAAATACTAATGAAAGTTGAAGTAGACACATCAGATATGTTTAGATATCTATATTTAGCTGTTTGTACTAAAGCAGAATTTTCTTCTTTTTCTATTTAAGGGAATTTATCGTGTTTGTGGAAACAAACTTAAAACTGAAAAAGTGTGTCAAGCTTTGGAAAATGGATTGCACTTGGTAGATATCTCAGAATTTAGTTCACATGACATCTGTGACGTCTTGAAATTATACCTTCGACAGGTAAAGGTTTTATTCATGAAACCTACTATTAAATAAAAGGCAAAAATATGATTTGTGTTTTGTTGATAATATTTGCTACACATATATTTTCAGTGAGATAGATGATATTGATTCTTTCTATTATTAATGTACAGATCAAAGAGTATATAAAATATGTGTGCAGTTTAAAGACGAATAATAATAAAACTCATATTCTATCACCTAGCTAAGAAAGTAGAACATTCCTACACATTATGCAGGACTTCTGCATGCCTTTTCCAAGTTCCAGCCTCCTAGCTCCACCCAAGAAATCTTTCTTAACTGTGTTAAAGAAATAAACATTTTCCTAAACATAAAGGAATAAATAACACTAGGCTTTTGTATAATTAAGTTTCAAAAAACTGACTTGAAAGCTAAGGAAAGACCAGTATTCACTCGGTTACATGAAGATTCAGTAAGTATTATAGTGTCTGGATCAGTCTGACTTTTTGCCTTCACTGGTATTTTAAAGTAGTTATTGTGGAAAGTCAGTGGTAAAGGCCATGAAGATTTATCATATTTAGGACATCTGGCAGATTATAAGTAGTGTACTAGAAGTCTAGCAGAAATGTGGTCAGGGAGTAAGCTATCCTCTTTTTCTGTGCTCACTATTTTACCTGTAGTTTACAGGAGTAGGTCCAAAGGAAACACATTGATGGGGTGAAATAAGTGACCTTCCTGGCTTCAGGAAGCAGCTTACAGAGTAGTCATAGGAACTTCAGCATATCATGAGCCAAGCACAAAAAAGATTCGGGCCAAGTCCAGCTGGTATTCTGTCCTTGGGGAGAAATGAACTGATAATGACAAAGAAAATAGTACTGATATTTCTCAACATACTAATCTCTGGAGTTTTATTGCTCCAGTGTGGATCCTTTTTAATATTGTGAATAGCTACCATGCTGAGATCTCTCTTCTGTTCTCTATCTTTTTGGCGGGGTGAGAGTAAGGGACATTATTGGGATTGAACCCAGAGCCTCACACTGAGCTATATCCCCAGTCTTTATTTATTGAGAGAGGCCTCATATTGGCCCAGGCTGGCCTTAAACTTGTGATCTTGTTGCCTTGGCCATCTGACTAGCTGGAATTACAGGTATGTGCCACCACACGTAAGCGCTCTTCTTTTGTGAGGGAATACCTCTCATTCATTCCTCATTTTTTATTTATTCTCCTGTTTCGATTGTGTTCATCCTTGGGCAAGGTGGAATAGGAATAAATATTTGAAAGTTTATTCATCTCTAAATGTCTTTATTTCACTCTCTCAATGGAAATGGACTCGTGTAGTGTGGAAGCTTGTAGTATTCTAGGCTGGAAGCTGTCTTTTTAAAAAAATTTTTGAAGGCATTTTGTTGGGTTTTTTTTTTGTGTGTGTGAGGTTTTTTTCTTCTTTGAAGCCTGGAGTACTTCCCATTTCATTCTTACCTCTTTATACATGGCCTATTTTATCTTTCTGAAAACTTACAGAATCTTCTTTCTTTCCCTGTTATCCTAAAATTTCACAATGATGTACCTTCATGTGGATGTATTTTCATTTACCATTTTGGGTACTCCACAATCTATAAATCTGGTTAATTCTTTAATTCTTGAACTTTTATTGATTGTGTTGCACATTTCTTCTCCCTCTTCTCTGTGCTTTCTATTTCTATACTTGGTAACCTGTTATGGTTTTCCAGTTCCTTTACTTTTTCTCTCATTTTTGCTGTCTTTCCACACTTTCTAAGAGATTTCATCAGCTTTTGCATTACTGTAAATTATTTCATTGCTTATTTCATATTTTAATTGCTGAGAACCCCGGTTTTCTATGTCTTCACAGCAGCTGCTTTTTTGTGCCAAAAAATCCTGCAAAATTTTTATTTTGCAAAAGTGCTGCAAAATCCTGTGTACCTAAGGATACTTGGGGTTTTTTTTCTCTGTCTGTCCAGTAAAAATACATATGACATTAAATTTTTAGTAGCCATATAAATAAAAATAAACAGATAAAGTTCATTTTAATATTTTATTTAACATTGAAAATACTTAAACATCAGTATTTTAAAGTTCATTAATGAAGTACTATATTTCACTATTTTTAATGTAGTACTTAGTCTTTGAATCTGATGTGTGTTTTTCATTTAGAGTACATCTCAATTTGAACCCGCTGAGTTTCTCATAGTGGCTACTATATTGACAGCCTAGTTTTAGACACTTTAAAATTATTTTTTCTACCCATTTTTATTTTTGTTTCTTGTGGTTGTCTGCCCAGTGTGAGAGCTGGGAATTGAAATCTCTTTAGAAGCTCTTGAACACATGGAAGCTTTGGAAACTTGGAGTTTATGGTAGGGTGCTCTAGGTAGACTGAGAAACAACTCATGTATATATGTCTAGATTCCTGCTCTTGGACTGGTCTGATCCCCTGAGAAGGTCTTTCCTTGCTTACATATGTGGTCCCAGGAGTATAAGAAGACCTTAAGATCTCTGTAGTCCACATGTATAAAGCCATCAGATCACCATTCACAGTCTGGCATCGCCTATCCCTGTTTTACACTTCCCAGAGGAAAAATTCTCTACATTTCTGGGGAAGAGATAGCTGCTCCGTAGTGTAGAATAGACACAGAAATGTGGAGGGCTGTACTGTCTCAGTCACCTACCTGCCACTTCCCAAAATCTGAGGCTCTGAGTCTCCTTCAGATTCTATAAATCATGTTGATTTCACAGAGGTTCAGCTTTCTTATACCTGCTGTGTCAGCACTTATCTCCTCAGCTTATGTGATGCTGCTTTTGTGTACTCTTTACTTTTCCAGTCCCTATAAGCTTACTGTGTTTTAGCAGGGTTGCAATGGGGGTGTGGGGGGGAATATTAAGAATAACTGTTGAATCTTCTATGTTAGCAGGGAATATATTGACAATTCTTTAATCACATTTTACAAGGAGCCCTTAGCTGAGAAATGGAGGTTGAATGAGTTTGAATAATTTCACTATGTGTCATCCTTTATTTATTATTCTTCTGGCCTGTTGAGTAGAGATGAATAGGGTTCAATACTGTGCACTCTTATTCTGTTTCGGGAATACTTTATGACTAAGGCTTTCATGTGGGAAACCATGCTCATTTCCTATAATAGTATCAGAGAGTAGCTAGCCTTCATTTTACTTATTAACCATGTGGAAACCTAAAACTCCTATGAGGTTAGGCCGTCCTTTAGATCTCAAAGTGGGGGAGATACAAATTGATCCCAAGGTGGCACCTATGTTTCCATAGGTAATATAGAACATCAGGTAGCCAGAGGTATAGTGTATTTTCCATTGCAGAGCAAGGGAAACGCTGAAATTCATTATGACGGTGGGTATTTATTAGTTTGAGATGAGACATTTTTCTAACCTACTCATGACTAGTCAGGCTATATTTGAAAATCATGTTGAAAATGTCTTTTTTGTAGGTCATATTATCTGTTGCTAATCTTTAATCTGATATCTAAACCACAGAGGTCCTATACCATTTTCTTCTTTCTGTCACCTTCACACCAACAAAATTTACATTATCAGCTTTTTCTTATTCATTTGACTTTTGTTTATTACCTGTGTTTATTTTAATAAAACAGTGGAAGATCATGTTGACTTTGGGACAGTCATGAACATAATAGGTATAAGATACCTGTTTCTCTTGAGTGTTTTAAAACCCCATCATGCAACGTTAGACTTGAGTTTTACTGATTGTCTGTTAACTTGTTTTTAATATAAATATAATTTATGGCAATAATTTTAGATTCACTTTGTAGGTCCCACCTGTAGCACATGTGCAATAAAAGATTAAATTTAAATCTTGTTAATCTAAAGGGACATGCTAGGTCATTAAGTAGCTGTCAATAATAGTTGACTGTTAAGAGAACAAATAGACAAAATGATATTCTTAATGTAATTTTATTTCCTTAGCTCCCAGAACCATTTATTTTATTCCGATTGTATAAGGAATTTATAGACCTTGCAAAAGAGATCCAACATGTAAATGAAGAACAAGAGATAAAAAAAGATAGTACTGAGGACAAAAAATATCCAAATATGTGTGTAGAAATAAACCGAATTCTTCTAAAAAGCAAAGACCTCCTAAGACAATTGCCAGCATCAAATTTTAACAGTCTTCACTACCTCATAGTACATCTTAAGCGGTAAGAATTTTATATAAATAGAGCATCCACTAGTGGGTAAACAGTTTTTTGTTAAATAAAATTTACTGTCTTAACCATTTTTAAATGTACAGTGTAGTAGTGCTAAGTACATTCACATATTGAAGTATTTTTAAAATGTTTCATTTTTATTATGTATTAGGGAAAGAGAGACATTTAATATATGATCATGCAGGTAACATGGTTCCCTCAGATACCTCCTTTATGGTTCCGGCTAGTTTTCTGCCGTCTGTGGGCTCATCATCTTAGAGGACAGACCTGCATACAAGCACAGTACCACCTTGTTGTTCTAATGGCTGTGCACAGCATGCAGGGGACGATTGGGGGTGGAAATGAAGAAGCCCTTGAATCAGATTTAAAAACTGAGTAGTGACTTGATGGGCAAATAGTATGCATAAGAACATTCTAGGTGGAAGGTAACAGAGACACAAGAGATCGTTTTGTATTTGAGAAATGGTTAGGCTATAAAATAATGAGCAGTAATAGGAGCTGAGCCAGCTAGAGGACTAATAATAAAATCTTACATACCGAGCAGGTGAGTTGAGCATCTTGTTTCTGTACCCACTAAAGAATTTGAGCCAGGAATTTAACATGCTCAGATTTGCCTGTTAAATTTTTGCAGCAGAAATATGGAAAATGGGTTTGAAGGGAGACCTTTGCTTCAGGTCTCTTGAAATAGTCATCAAAATGAAAGACTATCAGAGCTTAAAATAAAGCCACAGGAGTAGAAGTAGCTATTGAAGAAAGAGACCTTTAGGAGAAGCAAATTGTTTGAAAACTAGCAATGGTCAATGAGGGAAACTGACAGTGATATTTCAGTTTCCAATATGAGGAAGATATAACATATACTCAGGAGCAGTTTTTAGGAGTTTTTTTCTTTCTGCTAGTAATTCTTCTAGTAGTTCTTCTATTACTTGAATTTTATTGTAGTAACAAGGCTAAAACCCAGTCTGGTGTGTGGTAAATACTTTAGTTAAATAATTGTAACCTTTTCCTAGACTCCCTAAATATGACCGTTCACAAACTTTTCCTGGAATTAGTAGCCCATTTTTCTTCTACTTTTCCCAACCCACAGTAAATCACCATTAAGGAGATCTAACGGACAAATCTTATACAGCTTTATATATTCTGCTTTGCAGGGTTGTAGATCATGCAGAGGAAAACAAGATGAATGCCAAAAACTTGGGAGTGATATTTGGACCAAGTCTCATTAAGCCAAGGCCCACAACCGCTCCTGTCACTATCTCCTCGCTTGCTGAATATTCAAACCAGGCACGATTGGTAGAGTTCCTCATTACTTACTCACAGAAGATTTTTGATGGATCTCTGCAGCCACAGGATGTTACATGCAGTACAGGTGTTGTTGCACCTCAGGTTGATCAAGGCTGTCTTCCGAAACCTCTGTTATCACCAGAAGAAAGAGATTCAGAACATTCCATGAAGTCACTTTTCTTTTCTTCAAAGGAAGTGAGTTTTGACCTTTATAGAATTGCATTAAAACATTGTGATGCTTATATTAATAAGTTAACAATCTTTGAACTATTTATTTTGAGATGTTTTGCTTTTTTCAAGTTTAAAAATTCTCTTCCATCATCTATAGGATATCCATAGTGAAAGCAACATTTTTGAACCAACTCGATCATTTGAAGAATCAGAACACAAGCAAACTGTGTTGGAAAAATGTGATATGTGTCTCATTGGTGAGTAGCCAGCTAAACAATCTGTTTGCTGACATAAAACTTAGCAGGTAGCCACATTAAAAGTGAAGATAAGTGGAGTTGTGGGAAATCCAATCTTCAGAGTTATGTTATGCTAGTTGACGCATCTCTTCTAGCCACTGAGAAAGTTGCCTTTTAGTATACTTCGCAATCATCCTAATATCTTTTTTTATAAAAAAGAATCTTAGAGTTCATAGGTGCCTTCTTGTGTTCTCTCTGAAGAATCTTTATTGATTCTTGTCATTAAAGTCAAGGCAGAAATGTGTTGAACAGTGTCCTAATTCATAGCATCTTCTATATTACTGTTCAGGCTATTGCTCTAACTGCTCATAAGGAGGCAAACCTGACACTCAAAAAGTTTTGACTTTGAAATTTTTTTCAGACTTGTGGCCTACCTTTGACACAGTAAGCACATATGAGCATTTCTGGCTGTGGTCATTTTATTCACTTTTTTTTTTCTGATAATTTTATTGTAGCTGTTAAGCTGGTAGAAAAACTCCCATTTGTTGCTGTAATTCTACATTATTAACATTAAATTCTGATTTTCTAAAATGCAGTTATGGATGTCAAATTGGATATGTAATCAAATATCAGTGACCCATAGCCTCAGAATGTCTATAAAGGAAGGGAGCCACGCCTTGTCTGCACACTGTAAATCACTAGGCTTATTATTTGACTGCATTTGTCTGATGTGATCTTCCTAACACTTTAGTGCTATAAAATAAGTAGCATTAATCTTGTTCAACCTGTAGCTAACAGTCTGAGAGATTAATATGGCAGAGGTCATATATGCACCTTATCTATTATTCAGCTAGGATTTTTTTGTTTTGTTTTGTTTTTGTTTTGTTTTTCTCCGGTACCGGGAACCGAATTCACGACCTTGCGCTTGCCAGGCAGGCGCTTTGCCGCTAATCCCCAGCCCCCTCAGCTAGGATTTGAACCCAGTCCTGTGTGAGTCCTAAACCTAAATGTTTTTTTACTGTCTCATAGATTCAAGTCCCAATTAGGAATAGTACTGAAAATAATCTTAAAATACAATTTTCAAGTGTTCTGTTTATGCCACACCGTTCTAATCATTGTCCTTGCTAGATGACTTACACCACAGGACAACATAGGTGCACATAGGAATACTTCTTTACCGATGAAGCAGGTAGAGACTCTGCAGTGGCCTTGCCCAGAGCAGAAGTGGAGCAAGTGCTGAGCCAGGACCCAAGCAGGTGGCTGCAGAACCTGTACTCTTCTCCACTAGGCTAGAAATTCATCCTTCACAAGTACAAGAATGTGCTTTGCTGCTTATAGTCCAGTTGCAATGGGTCAGGTCCCTTAGGGTGTTCTGTAGTTGTGGGGAAGGGTCTGGGACCGAGAATCCGAAGAGCGTTGCCTTGGAACCCAGGCAAGGGGGCTCAGCAGCCCCTGGTGAGGAAGGAGGCTAGATGAGATGAGGACTGACAAGTGACCCTGATGGGTACCCCTCAGCACGCCACTGCCCACATTGTAGAAGGACCAGGTGACAAGGAAGAGGCCTGCACACAGGGCCAGCTGCAGTGCAAAGTCAGAGTGGTGTCAAGGTGCTGAGCTAGCAACAAGGAGGAGTGTGAGCAGAGAGCTGGACCTTTCCCAAAATTGAAATTTCTAGAGTAGATGCAGCAGAGGGACAGGGTATAAAGAGTCAAGGGCCCTGGAGGAGAAAACATGGACCAGGGGACAGGCGGGAGAAGAAGCAGAAGAAGGTAAACCTGGGAGCGACTAGTACATGGGGAGAATGGCATTATTGTCGTCGTTTTTGTTTTGTTTTGTTTTTTACTTAAAATACAACTTAATTTGACCTAGTGGGTGTTCCAGTAGATTAGTTGATCAGAGATGAAGAATATCCAAAGCATCTGACAAGCTGTACTCACTGTGGACTGAATGTAGCTGAAAATTAGGCTAAGTGAGTGCGACAAAATCCTTGAGGTTCAGGAGATGCCTACATTTGCTTGGCCTGCAAAGTGGTATAACTCTCCTGACGTTACTTTACTGATTTCTTCTGCCTGTTGAATTCATGACAGTCTTTGACCCAGAAAATTACTCATTTATGGGTATTATATTAAAATAAGTTACTTTAGAATATATTTTGTTTTGGTTTTTCAAAACCTGTTGTTTTGAGTGCCCATTTGTAACTTTCCTGTTAAACATGAATCATGGAGTTAAATAAGTCTTTCTTTTGCAGACAACAAAGTACGTTTGCTTTCCGACCCAGAGCTTGAATCAGCATCCCAAAAGATGGAGGATGTTTGTAAAACCTCTAAACCACTTACTGTGAAATCTGATAGGATAACAAACAACATGTGGAGGCATACTCCAAGGACCAAGATTAGACCTGTAAGTTTGCCCATAGATAGAATACTTCTTGCTAGCCCTCCTAGTGAAAGAAATGGCAAAAATATGGGAAATGTAAATTCAGACAAGTTTTGCAAGAATCCTACCTTTGAAGGACTTAACAGAAAAGATTCTCCCACTACTGTTTGTTCCAAATTTAATGGCATTGACCAGCAAACTCTACAGAAACCGTGGAGCAAACAATGTGAACAGAACAACTTAAGTACCAAAACTACAATGATAATGCCCAGTGGTCTCCAGGAAAAAGGAGCGACAACAAACATCAGGATCAGTGGAGATGATTCTAGTAATGCCACCCAGCCCAGTAAGCCTTGCACAGAGCCACTCAGGTCAGCAAGAGAAGTATCAGAGCGACGGTCCTTGGATTCCTACCCTCTTGCTCCTGTGAGAGCACCCAGAACACTGCAGCCCCAGCACTGGACAACGTTTTATAAACCACACACTCCCAGCAGTAGTGTCCGGGGGAGTGAGGAGAAACTGGTTTCTCTCTCAGCAGCAGTGCCTCCTGGCTCAGCTCATGCTGCCCAGGGGCAGGCGGCAAAATCACTTCCAGACTCAGATGGCACATCAGCTTGTGTTGCACAGCTGACTGGTCAGCCTAGAGGGACCTCTGAGGAGCATGACTTGCCTGATGTGACTCCGGTGTGCCAGAGACCAAGGCTAAAACGAATGCAGCAATTTGAAGACCTTGAGGACGAAATCCCACAGTTTGTGTAGGGTTATCAAAATTCAGGATTTCTTTTTTGTTAGTGTTTTATATTGTGTTTGTCTTATGAAAGACAATTTTGACAGGGCCTCCTTTGTATAGAATTGCCAAAGTATGGAGTTTGCCTTTTGTTGTGTTGGTCATATTGAATGGTAGAGTGTTTTCATAGGGCCACATTTGTGCCTCACTGGAATTATCTTTACATTCTCTGTTTTGAAAGTTGTGAATAAAAAAGATTCATATTTTTTAATATTTAGGTAACTTTCCCCATAAAATGGTCCAGTTAAATGCATCCCTAATATATGATAAAGTTCTCAACTAATAGATGCAGTTTGGGGAAAATCTGCTTTATTTTTTAATGAAACTACATGCTTATTTATAAAATATTTCTGAATGGCTGCAAGATCTTTATTTGATACGAATTTTTTTTCCACACAATTTTATAGTGCATCTTTGACCAGTTACGCTTTTTTAGTATGTATGTAATCTTTTATTTTTCAATTGGCAAATCACTTAACATTTTAATATTTACATAATGGCCAAAAGGCTTGCAAATCTGTACTTAATTGCATTTTAATTAATTACCAGTTTTTATATGTGGTAGTTAATTTTTACAAAGAAAATGCACTTAAACCTTTATTTCTAAATTATATAGTTTAGTTACATTTTATTTGGCTTTAGATTTTTTTAATACATTTGGTAGTTTTTTACCCCATAGTTTGTCTACATAAACTTCTTTTTCAATGTTTTGAACTTTTTGGTATTTTATATAATGGTCCCAAAAAATGTGTGTTTCGGAGTTTTTAAGTTCAATGCATTTCTTTTTGATATTGTCTAGGTTTTGTTAAAGCCATTCCTTTTATATGTTTTGACGTATGAATCATTTTGTACTTTTTCTACCTAGACTCCATTGAAAATGTACATTTCATCCAAATTGAGCAAAGATTTATTTAAGTTGATTTTGAGAATACAATTTAGTAAGCCTCATTATTTGGAATTTGAGAGAAGGAAGGTATAGATGACTGGATCTGTTTCATTTATAAAATAACCAGTTTTTAGAACTACTGCATCCCTGTTATTTTTCTGGGTTCCATCATGTTTGTCTAAAATGGGATATAAAAGGGACAAAAAGTAAAATGTTTATATGTGTGAATTATATTTCTAGAAAATGCTTTTGTATGACTGTGTTGTACTTGGTAAAAAAATATATGTATACATATATATATATATATATGAACTTGTTAAATTATTTCAAGTTCTTTTGACTTCTCTGACATTGTTTCCTATTAGGATATGACACTTTCAGGTTATTAACTATTGATTTACTGGTCAGCACCTGGGCTTATACCTCATTTGGCTACAACATGGAAAGTTTTTTTGTAGCAGGTTGCTTTATAGTTGTCTTTGACAATAAGGCCTGAAGAAAAACAATCAAACCTTTTTCCTTTTCTTTTTTTTTTTTTTTTGCCAAAACCTTGTTTTTAACCCTCATTTTATAAAATATGAGTCCTGTGCCATGAAAGCATAAGAAAATCAGAGCCAGTGTTTACTGATCCCCTTTTCTGGGCTAGAACTCTACCAAGTTCCTCCATACATTTCCCAGCAACGTATGAGTTTAAATGAAGGCACATTCATTGGTGATCTCACAAGCAAATCTAACTATATCTCCCTTACTTAGGTGATTCAATTTGATCTCACAAGCAAGTGTAATTGTACCTCACTTCTTAGGTGATTCAATTTAAAGTTGTATTAGGGCTACACTGTCCCTAGCTATCATTATATTAGTCTTTACATAACCACAAACATGTCTTTAAAATGACAGCTATTGTGTATTTTTTATAGGCCGTGTAATATTCTGGAGTTTTTCTTTCCTGGAGGCAGGAAATTATTTTTATGTGTTGATGTGATTATATGTAGATAGTTCAGTTAACATCTGCAGTTTAGCAGGTTTGTTAACATTCACAATCAGTATGCAAAAATCCATTATATTCCTATAATGAAAACTTTCAGAAAGAGGTTTTCAAGAGTAAAATAAAAATGTTAACTTACCTAAAAATGAGTCTAACAAAAAATGTGTAAGATTTTCATAGGAAAAATATTAGTCCATATCAAACTCATTTAAATGGAACACTCTGTAATACATATGATTTTTTTTTTTTTTTTTTTT